GATTTTTAACTTAAATTTGTTATTTTTTATCAAAATTTTTATGTAGTCTATATTTTAGAGTCACCTTCTCTACATTTGTAGTTACTTCAAATGTATGAATAAATATCTAAATTTTTATCTTACTGTTACTTTAGTATTTATAAATAATTAATATGAGTAAAATAGTAGAAGATATGTTTTAATAATTATAAATATTTTATAAATTTGATATTGAAATATCACAGACCGATTTATTTACTGGCTTATTAACTTTAATAACAGCTTACTACAAGTTTTGCATCGATTTGTTTCAAACGGAGGGTCAATAGTTTTTCGTGAATCTCGTAACATTATAGTATTAACGTAACTTATTAAAAGTAAAACGTGAAACGCTATGTACCTATGTGGTTTAATGAGGCTGACTTTTGGTAAGCATATTGATACTTGATAGTTCCTTAAGCTTTAAACTCAGTCTTGTAATCTACTAATTGATGTTTATGCTTTACCATAGAGAATTCTAAACGCTATAAAGAAATTCTTTTCTATGAATCTCGGCATCATTTTTTGCTGACCACACTATTCCAAGACTTCCGTATCCTCTTCTCCAAACTTTTCTTTAAGTCAAGGTTAGTTCCGTATCTGACAAATTATATTTATATTAAGTGATAAGTCCACTTAATATTTACTATTTATTATACATAAGTACTTTGAAAAAAAAAACTGTTCAGAACTCACATTAATACATTCTTGGAACGTACTATCAGCCCTAGTAGGTTCTTTTCAAATTTGGTTAGTTAGAGAGAGGAGCTTGGACATAAGATAGGAGCCCTTCAAACCTACACATGGGTCGCCAGTCCCAGGCACTGTTGAAGCTCCTCTCACTACAACGATGGACCCGACACACGCATATGAATACATTGAATGATGAGAGGTTTCCTCTTTATATAATAAATCATCCTCAAACTGTTTCTCTTACATGTTTTCTAAACAATCTGATTGCTTGGAACCTAAATATGTTACTTCAAGCATTGCCATAATCAAGTGATATATGGATAGTATACATACTAGACTTAAAGAAGTGTAGCGATAAAGATTATTACACTTTTCTTTTCCACTATGAAAATGGCTATAGTTACGTCGTTCACAGATACACTCAAATAAGAAGGAAACTGAAAATCTTAGTAGTTGTGTAGTGAGAGACACTTATATTCATGACTGGTTCAATCTTAATACTTTCCAGCCATCAGCCTCAATATAGAACAGCCTATAGCCAATCACAATATAAATTTATTCTGATGCTTATTTTCTTATGAAGTGAAGTTCGAATTGAGAAGTTATACAACCTTTTAGTCAGATACATATGAAAGAAAAAGTTTATATTCAAAAACTGATTGAACATTCGTGTTGACGAAAACTGAGGCGTATATGAAAAAAGGTAAAAACATTATATGTTGAAAACGTCACCAGCTAATATTAGAAGAGAAAGTGGTTATAGCATCAGTTAAATTGAAAGACGTATTTGTTAATAGAATTAAATCTTTAACATATTATATTGTTTAAGATATATTTATTTCGAAATACGAAATAACCAGAATATTAATATTAAATCATCATCATCATCAGAGCCCACTGATGAGCAAAGACCTCTTTCTCACATGGAGAAGGTTTGAGCATTAATTATCACGCTTGCTCAAGACGGATTGGCTATTTCAAACTTGTAATTTGAAATTATGCGTCCAAGTTTCCTCGCGATGTTTTTTTACATCTGTCAGTGATGTCTAAATACTCTTAGAAAGTACATATGATTCGGAAAAATCACATTGGCACTTGCCAGGATCGAACCCGCGTCCTCTTGCATGAAAGGCAGGCCTTTAACCACTAGGCTACCACGACCATCCCTACTATACTATAAATGCGAAAGTAACGCTGTCTGTCTGTCTGTCTATTACGCTTTCACGCCTAAACCACTGAACTGATTTTAATGAAATTCGGTACGAAGATAGAGTTGACCTTGAGAAAGAACATAGGATAGTCTTTATCCCAAACTTTTGAAAGGTTCTCTTAGAAACGCGATATAACCGACCTCCACGCGGGCGAAGCTGCGGGCGGAAAGCTAGTGTTATATATTTATTTTCTATATTAAACGGTATATATCGTCTTGACTATATCTTCATCTCATCTGCATATGATCACGGTTGCTCCAAAGTAATCTAAACGTCGAGATTATTAAATAATAACCAATATTATATGCGTAATAGCAAAACAATGTCCAGTTACAGATTCAGTCAGCGAGTGATATTCTAACACATAATTAAGTATAATTTATGAACACACTCAAACGTTTTTTAAATGCTACTAAAAATCTCAAACGACGTGTCGATGGTAATAAACTTGAAATTTTATGAACGGCTTACAATACTTTTTATCAATGACAGAATATTTCAAAAACTTTAAGTGTGAAAACGTAAAAATATATTGAAAAATTAAGATTCTGTGATTTATTGAGAATGAATTAAAGAAAAAATATAGGAAATTGAAGTAAGGAGACTAGGCAATTTGGACACGGTAAAAATTTTAATGAAATATTAAGTCTTTTAAGATCAATTTGATTATAGCACTTATTAGGATTTAAAAATATGTCACATAAATATACACAAGTATTAAAAACTGATAAGTGAATTCACTTTGAATTACTTTCCATTCCTTAACTAAAAACAATTAAAGAGAAATTTTAAAAATATATCATTAAAAATTATGAAATACTAGTTTTTGCCCGCGACTTCGTCCGCGTTAGTTTGGTCAAGAGTAATATATGTAGGTATAGCTGACCAGGCGAACTCTATTCCGTCTTAGAGGCCATAAATAATCAAGTTTTTTCTGTTTCAATCAAACAGAATGATTGACATATTAGTTAGTTGTCAAATCTAATGTCAAAAAAAACGTTTGTATGGGAAATAGAAAAGGGCTGTTTTTAGGGTTTCTCCGTCAATTATTCCAATTTTTCTCACCTTTTAAACCTGCCCTGGGCTACCAGGAGTATTTCAAGACTAAAATTAGCAAAATCGGTTTAGCCGTTCTCGAGTTTTAGCGAGACTAAGGAACAGCAATCCATTTTTATATATATAGAAGATGTATGAAAAATAAATAAACAATGTTTTTAATGTCACAGATTCAAATATTATGAAACAAAAGACAGCGTTAGATAAAATTAAACAACCAAAGAAATTTTTTCTCTCCTAAAATTTTTTTTAGTTGACATATTTTTAAGTATCATTATACTTAAAAATATGTCAGTTTATAGAAAATGTATGAAATAATATTAAATAAAAACAATACGTATAATAGAATAATTTTAACATAAAAACTAGGTATATATAAACTTTTAAACAATTTACTGAAGAATTCATGGCAACTTTGAATGTTTTTACTTACCTGAAGCTATAAAAAAATATAAGACACTTTAAAATATTTTTTTCTCATCGTTTATTTATAATAATGATATTTATTTAACAATTTATTAAGTTGTAAAATTAAATGAATATGAAATATTCATTACCTATATTAATCTACCTACAAATAAGTCTCTACTATTAACTTAATTATTAATACATTCAATATTTTTCATATATTTCTTAAAACAAAGTCTTATATATAAAACTTATTATTATAATATATGATGTAGGAACATTATATTTTAATACAACTTTATAAAGAAAACATCTATTAAAATAAATGTTATTATTTACTTATTTAAAGCTTCATTATATTTATATACATTTTTATTCATATAAAAAACGGGTACAAATTCTTATTCACTTTACAAATGACAACCGTAGTTTGAGTTTGTATTAATTGATTTCGTATGTAACAAAGCACGGAACACGTAATGCTTATAAAAATATCATAGAAATATAATAATTAAATGAAAATATTACTATTTATTTTGATATAAATTATAAATCAATTCCATACTTCTTTAAAAAAACGTTTTTTAGATTTTTTATTTAAGGTATTTAAGACTCTAAAATTAAACGGTTTTTAATTTAGCAATCTTGAGTTTTAACCAAAAACAACGATACCAATTACGATAAAACTATGAGTCAAACAGTAAAATAAAGAGTTAAGGTTTTATTAATAATATTATGATCATACATAATATATATTTATATATAAATATATATTAATATTAACATATCGGTGGTAGTTCATAACTTCAACACTCTTCGACATATTACTTATAAGTGTTGACGAACCCAATAAACATTTAGCGTTTTTAATGTAAACAAATGTTTAAAATAACGCCTTAAATGTATACGTTAATTAGGTAATAATATATAATTAGAAATGAGATTTTATCTTTATATATAAGGAAAAAGTTTTTAGGATGTATGGATTTGTGCAAATTAATTAAATATTGATTATATTCAAAGATATAATGCTAATATTAAGATAAACTAATGTGTGAAAAATTATTTAAAACATAAAAATAAATATAATATAGGTATTCACAGTGTAAAATATTACTTATTTTACAATTATAAAGAATCAGAAATAAGAATATTAATAAATACATACTTATTAAGTTATTAAAGTAGTTTTTCATAGGCCATTGTTAAATAATATTTAATTCTTAAAATATTTCACATAGAGTCCTTTTTTCCATATACGGGATGAAAGCTTCAAAATACTAAATATATACTGAGCTTACACAGAGCTTCATCAAAACTTTAAATCACAATCTATTTTAACCGACGAAAAAAAACGGTATTTCAAATTTGTGTTTCGTTAAACGATATGGTAGAAAATTTCATTCAATAAATAAAATAGTTATATTTAAAGCAGTAATATATCATATAATTACCAATAAAATATCATTAGTATCGATAATAACGAAATAAATCAAAGCAATAACTCAGTTTAAATCTGTATACATTAAATAAACACCAAAACGTATTTATACTAAAAAATATTTGCGTCAATACAATAGTCATTAGCGGGTTGTTCGATATGAAGTCATCCATATGTACACGACCCGTACAGCCCTGGAGAGAGACGGAAATACGAGATCTTTATATGTTGGAGAGAGATGGAAGAGATGCTGGGACTCCGCCCTCAATAGCCTGTTCGTGTATTGGTTTCCATTCCACAACCATCAGTCCTCATTCGATAGTCATTACAAGAACAGCTTAATTAGTCCAACAGTGTCAGTGATGGACTACGAACAGACATACAGTATAAAGAACAACTATGAGTGCAAGAACTACGATTACGAGAAACGGCAAGAAGAATACTACGATAAGAACTACAGACTGAAGTTTGATGAGCACCAGAATAGTCTTAACACGCCGTTTCTTGTTAAAGATATATTGAATATAAACCAGACGCCGTATTACGAGAGGAATGATGTGTGGAAGATTGAAAGGAGGAATGATTGTGAACCACATCAGAACCAATACTGCCAGGAATACTTCAGCCAAATGTACCCTATACCAGTGACAAACACCGATCAATATTGGACACAGGATATGCACGAAACTAAAATAGAAGATTACTACAATTACAATTACAATCATAATATATATCACCAGAATCATGAATATTCTGAACTAACTCCACACGTGGAAATACAAGGGAAGTTTCAAGAACTGGAAAGAGAATCCCAACCGCCGGGAATTGGTCTGAAAATCGGGGAAAAAACAATACAACAGCTCGAACCAGAAACGACAGCTTATACGGACACGCTACCCAAATATCCAGCCATCGCTAGAAAACAAGCAAGTAAGTACTAAAAAATACATTATTATATTAAAATTAATATAGTTATAGTATAGAAAATATTTCTGTCAACAGAGCAATGCAAACCGGAACGCAAAGAGAGGAATATCAAACGAAAACCAAGGATTTTATTCTCACAAACACAAGTACACGCGTTGGAAGTTAGATTCATAGCGCAGAGATATTTGACAGCGCCAGAGAGGGAACAGCTCGCTAAAACACTAAACCTATCGCCTACACAAGTGAAAATATGGTTCCAAAACCGAAGATACAAGAGCAAAAGAATCAAATCGCCAGAAGTATCAACATCTACAGACGCCAAACCTATCAAAAACATCGGCAGGAAATTATATAGAACAGAAAACAGAGATTTGAGATGCACATACAAGGAAAGCGAGAGTTTGGAAAGTGAATTAACTTCTACCATATATTTCGATGATAGCGTCACTTATAATAATGAAAAATATTACACACAAGAAGAACTACCAGGGACCTATCAGAAATACAAAAACGACGGCTACAAAGAAAACGAAATAAAAAAGTTCAATACAAACTATATATGTTGATAGATTAAATAGACTGAACCAAAGAGTATTATTTTGTTATATATTTTTTAATTGTACGATCGGATGCATGCCGCATTGAATATTATTTACTGTTTTTTTTAAATAAATGTATAAGACTGAGTATAAAATTATTTTAATGGTATTTTTATTTTACCTTAATATATATAAATATGGAGAATTAGATCGAATAGTTTTAATACTTTAATAGTAAACAAGTAACTTTCAAATTGAATATTTTATTTAATTTTGAGAATAAATTATATACTCGTATATTTAATAAGTATTATATATACAGAGTTTAATTTTTATACTTTTTGATTCTCTTTTTATAAGAATTCGTTTAAAAAGCATTAAATTTACTCTATAATTACCATAAGGCTTTAACATTCTACAAAATAAGCGTTTCCAATTTCTCATACAATAATGTACATTACTACTATTGAAGATTTATGAATGAAAAAACTGTTAACGCTGCGTATGTAGTATCAGCAAACTTGTGGTTTGCATATAGTTATTATAATTAATTTATAAAGTAATAATATATTTACAATTATTAAGTAAAGCAACTAAGTTTCGGTTATTTTATTACAATTCAATTTTTTTCTTCTACCTGTCAATTTCCCAGCTTTAGCCAGCGTCTGCCTGCAATTACAACTCAATTATATTATTGATAAACATACAAACTTTTTTACTAACTTTAACCACGTTTCATCATATTTAAAATATACCGATATTTCTTTTAATTTAAAAATTTTGTCTATTTAAATTTAATTACAGCCATATCTTAGTCGATTTAGTTATTCTTACTTAAGGTTTATAAAGGTACTTAATTCAAAATTAATTAACTTTTAATTTAAATATAATTAATAATTTATAATATTCTTAAAACATACATAATATTTTAAGCACATTTAAATCATATAGGATTCCAACAGCATCTCATAAAGACTGTTTTTTTCACATCAATTTGTAAAAGATCTCTGTTATCTGAATTGCTACCATACCACAGAGATCTGGGGATGCTTTGAGTACAGACGGCCGTTTACTATAACTATAGCTTATAACCACTGCTTTGTTTAGTATTTTTATATCGTATATTATATGTTATAATTAATATAAGAACGTGATTTTTATTATTAAAGTAATATTAATATATATTTTTATTTAGCTCTGACGTTATTTATATAGGTAGTGATTTTCTTTGGCTTTGTGTGTCATTTACAATGTGTTTTTAAAATTACGAAAAACAACATATTCCCTTTAAAAAAGTATTACTAAGATTCAATTACTCAAATTTAAGTATTGCATTGAATTTAGCATATATATTTGTTACTTATGCCATCTCTAAATGTACTTTTAACAAAATAACTAGTAGTTTTTTAAACGCCGCGTTTCAACGCCGCGTTCCAGCCGCCGGTCTGCGTGATCCCTCCCCTATGTAATATAGGCGCCGGCGCTATCGATCTCAAAAACACGTGTCCAATACGGACCTGACTACACACCACCTGTTCTTAAAAGCATCACCAGGAAACTCACTCCGGCAGAGGATCTGAGAAAAAATATATTCATATATATAAATATACATACCTATATATATACTAGAAGACCCGGCGAACTTCGTATCGCTCTATAATCAAGAAATATATGTTACGTTTTTATATTTATATTTTTGGAGTTTACCTATTTAAGCCATAAATCTCCGTGTTTTGAAGTGCGACAGAATGATTGACATATTAGTTAGTTGTCAAATATACATAATGTCAAAAAAAAAGTTTGTATCAACAACTACTAATAAATTAAAAATCAATTATAAAAACATTGTCCAGCGGACAAAATTGTGAATTTAAACCATTCCCGGATCCCCTTGAACACACACAAAAAAAATCATCAAAATCGGTCCAGTCGTTTGAGAGAAGTTCAGTGACATACACACTCACAGAAGAATTATATATATAAAGATATAATATACATTTATAAGAGACCCGCTATGTATAATTATTGGCAGTGTACATGATAGAAGATTATGAAAGTTTCGATTAAGAAATAGCTTAATTATTAGAATTAAAAATCAATAAAAACTACAGTTTGATATAATAATAGAAATATTAAATATTTCTCTTTTAAATCATTATTATTTATTAAAATATTTCGCTTCAAAAATTATATGCATACTTTTTTTTCTATCGTAAAAATCATTGAGAGATAATATAATAATAATAATATAATTAATTTTATTATATTTACAGGTAATTAATCGCTCGAAACATTAAGTAATCTTAGTGAAATAAATAAAAACAAGTTCAGTAATTTTATATAGACGAACAGACATACACGTTCATTAATATTAAAAGGTATCAATGAATCACGTGTAACAAGACAATCTCATTGAATACATTACTATTTATATATATTAATAGTAATGCTTGTGTGTGTGTGTCTGTGTGTGTGTGTGTGTGTGTGTGTGTGTGTCTGTGTGTGTGCTTGATGTATTAATATTGGTGTGCTTTTAAGGTTATCGCGGTGTGGAAGGTGATCTGGTCCGATAGACCGACACACCACCTGTATACACGCAGGGGATTAACGAACTGATGTACATACATATATCGAGTAGATGATATAAAATAATATATTGTATAGATTCTGTTGATAATAATACAATAAATTTTAAATCACAAATAAGTTTAGGACCTTCTGTCATACAATGTCAACATATATAAGAATTTAAATAATTAGATACTAAGTTTAAACTGGCTTGAGTGATACTTTAAAACTTTCTCAGTTAAATTCAAATGTTAAATCTGTACTTAGTTATTATAATTTAAAGTAATCAAATTCTTACGATCATTATATATGTATTTATTCATATTATATTATGTATATATATATCATATACATAATCCCGTCCGTCTATACTCCATTACTAAGCCCCGTACGAAACTCGTTATGTTTTATTTGGACGTCGGACTCCTGTTCTGATATTACAACACAGACCAAATAAAATATACAACTTATTATATTAATATTTATGTATGTTTGTATGATTGTATGATTGTTAGCAATAACTACTAAACTTAAAAAGTGCTGTGCTTATGTTGTGTGAGAATAATAAAATATATAAATATAATAATTATAGGCAAATATTTACATAAAGGAAGTTTCTTAGAGAAAGAAATTAAGTAAGAAACTTAGAAATTCTCATATATTTTTTTATTTTTGAAAAAAATATATAAAGCGAAAGAGTTTGTTTGTTTGAGCGTGATAATCTCAGGAATTAGTGCTTTGTTTTGAAAATAAAAGTTCTTTTTTTTGGTTTACGTTATAAAATACGTAACATAAAGTTAATATTATATTACCATAAATAAATAAAAATAACTTACAAAATAATAAGAAACTGTTTGGTCTATAAAAAAATATAAGCGTGTACAGATTTGAGAAAAGTTTTGTAGACTGTATAACAGTATTTAAACAATACAATTTTTAATAATTCATCGATCAAATCATGAATAATAGAATAACAAACCAATCACTCGAATTAAGAAAATAAATTAAAACGAAACTCCTTAAAAAAATCTTTGAATTGCCACAAAAAATCATCTATATATTATTATTATAATGTTTATATTTATTCGTTCCCGCGGTGTAAACGAATATATTTCCCAGTGCGTTATCATGGCTGATACATGTGCACAGTTTAATGTTCCAATACGGCGTTCAATTAATTATTTACATTTTTATTATTATACAAATTTATTTATTAATATATGTATAATAGAATGTATTAAGACATTGCTCTAATACCTTGGTATGTTCGAATTAAGTGAAAAGGTTGAAATTTACGTAAAAAATCGAAATATTTGTATTAATTTTTGTCTGTCATTTGTTTTCTGATAATTCTATTTAAAATATATATTATGACATAAAAGTTTGTATATATGCTGTATAGAGCAAATTGTATGCTTACTCATTACTGAATTATTATATTATATAAGTAATAAATTAATAAGTTTGGTGTAAAACAAGCACAAACTAAAATCTTTAATCAAAATAATTGAAGTCGTTTAAAATTCTAATAATTTACCCCTAAAATTTTAAAGTATTTATTCAATTCCTGTAGAAGTTTAAAGATTTTTGATATCAATAATTATACGCAGAATAAGATTAGTCATGACAGATACTAAAACAGAACGGAAGTCAAGAAAATGGAATGAATAATGACTCAATTTGAAATGCTTTCAAATAGACATGAATTATAGCGGAAGTTAAATACAAAAACAATACTAATACTTAAGAAATGAAACGCGAAATATACAGCATATATAATTGTTGTATATTTTAAGGAAATTCTATTCAATTAAAAAGTTTATTTTTACATTATTTCTATAACTTTTTATAGAATAAATATTGAAATGATTACAATATATCTTTCCCTAAACGTCAAACCCAACTAATAGAGCGTATAATTCTGCGTTTAAATTTGGAACTTTTTCGTGTTTTTTTTTTCATACTTTGTGAATGGAAGCAATAATTCAACGACAACAGCCAACAATAGTGAACCCTGTTCGTGATATTTGACCCGGTCTTGCTTAAAATGTATATCCAGACGTAATATTTGTCAGATTTGGGTATGATTTTTTTAACTTCAACATTTTTACTTTTCTAAAAGTTTTAGATTGTAATTTTATTTCTTACATTTAATATAGGTTATATTATAATTAAAATAATAGATAATGCTCTATTTCTTTTTTATTGTTTCGTCACACCGAAATTGAACTGGCTGAATAGATTCATTCAAATAACTTTAATAACATATTTTTATTATCTGTCACATTTTATTAAGATTTGAAAGCCAATAGTTAACCTATAAACTGTGGTATGTTTGTTAAAATTTGACATATTATATTTTTCGTAAATGTGTAAACTTTCTGTTGCATAAAGTGTGTGAATTTTTTCATGTTATTTAGATGGCGCCAGTGAGCCTCGAACCCCATGGGAGCTATAACTCAATGACACTTCAACTTGACCCGCGCTTTTTTTATTTTGACACGATATTTGACCCCGAGTTTTATGTCTGACGCTCTTAATTTGTTTATTATACAACAAATTGAACTATAAAATCGGTTTTGAGTGAAAAGTGGATTACTATTAATGATGTACAATCTATTCAGTGATAATGAACACACTTTTAATTCAAGTTAGAAGTATTGTGTAAGACGTAAGTGTCATGTGTTTTGATGTTGTTGAACCTTGGAACCAAATGGAAACTTCTAGAGAAAACGAATGGAGTTTAAAAATCTCGACTACAGGTTAGTTTTTTTATATACGTCATAAGTGTAAATATTAATATTATTAATGTTTTGGGGCGGTCGGAGGCGGGATATTGACAAATACGTTATTTATTGGCGCGACGGCGCCATCTTAGTTCGTAATTTTTTGCGAAGCACTGACGAGTGACTCCGAACCCTCACTTGATAAGAATTAAACTTTTTAACATTTCGGTATTTTACCGTTACTTAAAAAACAAAAATAAAAAAACAACATCACTCAAATATTACCAGACATTCTTATTTACAAAGTCTCATTGTAAAGCTTTCTAACGATTATAAAACTAATTTAATGTATATGAACATATATTTATAGCCTTTTTTTAAGTGAATTATATGTACTTTCTTTCTTCTGTGTTCTGCTTGATAATGAAATTGTTGTTGTAAGTCGTAAGCTCTGTTTATCATTTATAAAACAGTGAGATTGAGTTACGGAAGTGAATATAAAAAAAATGACGGCTTGTTACATTTAAATCTAAAGTTTAGTATAAAATTAATTTTATGGCTTTATGACCATCTAAGCTACGGGAAGAGATCAAAAAACTTATTATTGTATATTATACTTTCGTAAAACAATTATTAATATAATATTCGATAGAGAATTTTAAAGTACTACTTTTGGCACTCGTAACTTAATACTTAAAATAATTCTTATATATCACGTATATTCGAATATAGTGTACGGGTGTTTTTTCAGAATTTATTTCAATGCTACATACTTGTTTCATTATTAATATTTGTAACAAAAAGCAATTTTGTGTTCACTAAGATACATCTTGCGCCCTCTGTTATCGAATAGTAAAACTATCAAAGTCAATGATACTCTATAATTCATTTCGTTGCATTACTTTGAAGTTACATTTATAAAACATAGAGGGCAGTAACTACATTCTTTTGCTTTTTTATCAGCAGATGGCGTGACAAAATGTATAAAGCACTGTACAAATTTTGAAACTATTATTTAAATTTCATTTAGTGATTTAATTATGATATATAAAATTTATACGTACATATTATAAATTATATACTATTAATAGTAACTGATATCAGATTAATTGTTCCTTGATTGACTTATCACGATTCACAAGTACAGGCTCCAACAAATGTGCTGATTCACAGATCTAGTCGTATATCGCAAAGGCGGATCAGAGTTCCGATTCATTAGAGTAAAATAATCTAAAAACTCGATTGTTCCAAATCTTCATTATGGGTGGGCCGGTCAATTGCGAGCGTTTTATTAATTATATCAAAATGATCAGAAAATATTTTGTTTAAACTATTGTCTAAACTTTTTATTATCCCTAGGAGGTCCACTTATTGGATGGTAATTACGGTCGCGATAATGCTATGTACATTTTATGAAGGAAATACAAAATTATTAGAATAAAAATTATAATCGTAACGAACGAAGTAAATGTACACATGTAACAGGCTCTTTCAGTTCTAAAAAACTCAATTCAAGTCAGCACTAAATTTACTACAACATTTATCCCGCGTTCAATTGTTACAAATAACAAACTATTAATAAAAACAGTATTTAGCAATATGTTATTATTGAGGTTAAAGGCTGAGACGTCCATTCATCCATAATCTTTATTTTGTTTGGATTTTCACTTACATATTTTATTTTATATAATATACACTAATACCTATTAGGTATACACGCTAAGGTTTTATATATTTGAAGTGTGTGTGTGTTACTGTTACTTCTTGGAAAAATTTCAAATGTATTTTAATGAAATGTTACGATAATACAGATATATATCATAATAAATGTAACCCATTTGTATACACAAATCTAATGTAGTTCCCGCGGGAGTAAGTGACAGCAGTTGTAATTGAAATCAATTTACACGCCGCAGACGATAGATGGCGCTACCCGTTGTTTACTGTCTATCTATTAGGCTAAACTTATTTGTTTCTATTACAACTTTATTCTAAAGTCCAGATGTACGAAGTCGTGTCTAAAGCTAGTAATACTATTTATTTTAATAGCTAGAACTATCAAGCTTCTCCTTATTTCTGATATTCGAATTACGTATTAAGTATTTCCATTTTTTTAATGCTTTTTTTATTTCTATTGTTATTTGCATCCTAAAAATGTTAAGCGTAATCAAAGCACCAAAGAGTTATTATATGTTACACAGCCAGATATTTTTTAATCTGTTTCATTACAAATAAACTTGACTAATATTCTGTGACGATATTAGACATTGCTAAAATTTTGATTGTTTATTTATAACAAGTCTTTCGATATTCATTTCATATACGGACAAACAAAACTTAAAATTAAAAATAGCAAAAATTAAAAAAATGAATAATCCACTGATAAAATGTTTTCACATACAATTTCCTTTGATAAGAGGGATGTTGTCGTATGCCGTGATTTGGCCGACATGCAGTATTGTTCAAGAGTATATAGAGAATGGTACGACTATAGAGAATGCTGATTGGGAAAGAGCTGGTCGTTTCGGTATATTCGGAACATTCTTCATGGCTCCAGTATTCTATACTTGGATGAAATACACCAGCCGTTTCTTCAAACACAAGAATCTCCGTACAGCAGTAACTAGAGCTATAATCGAGCAGGTTTCCTATTCGCCCGTCGCGATGGCATATTTCTTCTTCGGTATGAGCCTATTAGAGAAAAAACCTATAAAGACATGTGCTAATGAAGTTAGAGAGAAATTTTGGCCGACATATAAAGTTGGGGCTGTTTTCTGGCCGACAGCGCAAACTGTTAACTTCTATTTCGTATCTGAAAAGAATAGAGTCGTTTTTGTTAGCTGTGCTAGTTTTATCTGGACAATATTCATGGCTCATATGAAAGCCAAAGATCAGGACCTGGTCATCAATAACGAAGATATCGGAGAGAAGATTCAAGATGCTCAAGTCAGTGAATACGAAAACTTGTCAAATGAACATACAAGCTAAAAAAGTTAAACAATTGTTATATTAAATAAATACGTTCAAATAGAAATGATTATAATTTTAAACTTAGCAAAACATGATATATAGAAATGTGAAGAATTCCTAACATTGTCGAATGACTAACGTTTTTGTGTGAGTGAAAAAAACTTGGTATCTTTTTTTTATTTAATATATTTGTATTGATAATCTAAATTTTTATGATGTTCCTCTATATTTAGTCCATTAATCATGTTTTGTCAACGCGCTCCTAATGCGTTCGGGTTATTTAATGTTTTTTTCCGTTGCATTTTTTATTTATTGCCTCGAACATGGGATTATTGATTTTATAGTGTTTTTTGTCACGGCATTTGGATGTGGTGGGTGGTTTCGACTTCAAGCTGAAGGTTTGAAAATAAATTTGTTATTGAATATGACAATGTGTTAGGGATATAAACGAACTACATATATGTATGATAGTTAAGCTATGAATAAATAATAATTGAATTTTTTGGTCAATAGGTATATCTTCAAATTAAATTCTAAAATGAGATCCATATATGTAATGGTTTTAACAATGATAGCACAAGTATGTGAATTTATAACTCGTCCATATAATTTTGTTATCGTCGAATATCAAGTAATAAAGCAAGCAGAAATTTATTGAAAATCAAATATGTTTTTAGTTTATAAAAGATAAAAATGTTTTTTTATATGCTATGGCTTAATTCGCACTGGGATCGTTGAATATTTTACCAAAGTTTTTATTTGATGGACAAATTATAATCTAGAGTACTGTGTGGAGAAAATACGAAGGAGTTTGTCGAATGGAATTAAGGCGATTATTGTCTACTGATAAATTAATACGGAATTTAAGCAGTTTGTGTATCTTGTTATTCATGTCATTGTCATAGAGACAGAATTAGAGAAAAAGTTAAATAAATGTAATAAAGATACCTTTCTAAAAATATAATAAAGTTACTTTGTACGAAAAACAAAATAAAACAAATACTATTCATAAAGAATTCAAGATTTAAGAAATATCAGTTTTGACCTTGTCTTATTACGAAAAAAAAACAGTTTTAAATAGAGAAACGATTTTCATTAATTTGTTTAAAATAATAATAATTTTGAAATATAAAGTTGGATATAGGTACTGGATATTAGAATCAAATTAAATGTACTTAGATATAACACACGTTATGCAACTCAATAAAATACAAACGGACAAACAATATAATATAACTACAAATATACCTATATACTTACAAATAACATAAATGACATTCAAATTGGATCGTCACTAACTAAGGTATTATATCTAAAGAAATAAAAAGATTACTTGATTAAGAACTAACTTACTCTAAATTCTCTTTTGAGAAACACAACGATTAATTAGTCAGATAGTATGTATGTTTGGTCCGGGTCCAGCTACCGACCAGGATTCGGACTACAAAAGGTCCGAAACTGGTCCCTTTTCACTTAACGATCTCAACTCGTCGCTACCAAAAAAATTGCTAAAAAACCAAAACTACCTGACCCCTAAAACGTTACATATATGGAGCTGTGCATTTATTAAAAATATTCTTTAATTAATATATACATATTATAATATAAGCTATTTCTATGTGTACTTCAAGATGTCGTGATGTTTTCATCAATTCTACGTAAGTTTATATATATTTCAGACAAGCATAAGTTCATCATTGAAATAGGTACTACATTATCACAGTCGGGAATCGAAGATAGTACATAACTGTATTTAAAACAAATTTGCTTTGTGACTACATATACGCGTTTTCCGTTGCAATCAGAAACTTGACCTATATATACATATTATATAAGAAAGTCATGTTAGTTACACTATTTATAACTCGAGAACGGCTGTAGGGATATGGTAGAAAATTGGCGGAGAAATAGCTTAGAACCAGGAGATTGACATAGGATATTTAATTCTGTTCGATTGAAACAGAAAGAAATAATAATAAACTTCAATAGCTGGTTATATTTGGCTTTTAAGGCGGAATAAAGTTCTCCAGTCAGATATAATATATTATATTAATTCCTAAATACACGCGAAGTCGCTGGCAAAAACTAGTTATACTATAATGTGAAGCTAAATGAATGAAAAACTATTAATTCTGATAGTGTTGTAACAGCTCTAATAATATCCGCCAATGAACTATTTCACGCTACTAAATAGAAGTATATTTTGTTAAGTGATAAAGTTGACCAAATCACATGACATAAAGTTATATTTTTTTCCCCAAAGATCAATCCTCACCTGCTGAGACGAATTATTTATTATTCGGACCAAAAAAATGCACATTCAAGTCCATAGATCTGCTGTAATTGATTTAATTTCTGACGTTTTATAATTAGTGTGAAATATAGTTGTGTTTGTCGGGATTTCTTGGAATTTTTCGAATAAATTTTTATTCGAACATCCTAAACGAATGAACGAATTATTTTCTTCACTATTGTCACTTAACTTGATTATGTTAAAACGAATACAATATTTTTATTATGATTTTAATATCCAAGACGTATAATCATCATAAAACAGTTATCTTCTTTATATTTTATTAATAATAACATTTTAATTATTCAAAATTACCGAAACGTAATTTCAAGCTCGGAATCATCTTTGATATGATTAATTCTTTGAAAATTTTATCACCATACAATTGTACGTAGCGAATAACGAATCAATGTTATTGTTTTATGGTCAATTTTGTTCATTCAGACTTAAGATGAGACGGTAAACACACAACCATTATATTTTTATGTCGGTTAAGGTGAAGTCTATCGAGTTGAAACACTGAGACATTAAAACAAATGGTAGAAGAAAACACTTGAAAATGTAATTTTAATTATCTTATCATCTCTATGCTTACACCGAGTTTTGCATCGTCACTACATACGTAGCTTTAACAGTTAATCATCACACATAGACTCTTCTTCTACCTGGAAATTTCCCAGCTTTTAACCAGGGTCTGCCTTACAAGTTGTGAATAGTTTTGGCTAATTGTTTTATGACCGGCCGCCTGCCTGACATCAACCCTCTTTGGGAATGAATTAATCAGTGATGTCTAAATACTCTTAGAAAGTACATATGACTCGGAAAAATAACATTCGTACTTGCCAGGGCCAGGATCGAACCTACGACGATACTTACTTGTGCTAAGCATTGAGATGCTATAATAATAACATTTAAGCACCTAGTCTACCTGTGATAACGAAAATTAAATAAAAATTTAAATAAACGTTTTCATGTATAACTAGTTTTTGTCAACGACTTCGTCTGGGTTAGTTTCAGAATTAGATTTGTATAGCTGACCGGGCTAACTCTGTTTCTCCTTAAAGATAGTGGATAAGGAGATATTGTATTTGACCAACTTATTTTCTTTTTTTTTTCAATTGGATGAAAAGTATCCTATGCCCTTCCTCGTGTTCTAACCTATCTCTCCAACAATTTTCAGCCAAATCCATACAGCTGTTCTTGAGTTATAAATTGTGTAACTAAAACTACTTTTTTTATAAATATTTATATGAACTTGTAAATTTTTGTATGAACTAGATTTTATAAATTTATAGGTATAAAAACTTGTGGAATTAAAAAAAAATATAGTTTTGTTTGTTAAAAATCACATAAAAAGAGAGTTAAAATAAAATAAGACTTTAAATTATTTATTATTTTTATTATTATTATAATATATGTATAAGTAATGTGTTCAAATGTAAACTTCTCCTTAATTCAAATTACACAGTCTAAGCCGGCATCCCAAAGCCAATCGTATATCAAGATTAATACAAAATTTCTCAATTAGTGACCGCATTGACGACTCAATTTAAAATTATTGACCATAAAAAGTGCTGCTTCTAAATTTTTAACGATATATATATTTTTAAGTCGTACGTAATTTTCATTATTTATATATTAAACATGATTGATTATAACTGTTTTTATTGATATGTTTATTTAACGAATTAAATATATATAATAATATACTAAGTTCTTATTTTAATGTAAAAAGTATTTTTTATTTATTTAGTTCTATAGATATATAAACATAACACGCATCGGATAAATAACTATATTAAATAAAATTAACGAATTAAATAAAAGACGGTTAGAAAATTGATGCAATTCGGTTGTTTCCTATGGGCGGTGTTGCCATAATCTGACAAATAGCTTCATTTTTTGTTAACAGAAGAATTGATTTATAAACGAAATTAAAACCTATCACCTTGTAATAAAGTCGACAATTTATTAACAATTTCCATCTCCATTGATTACAGATCTCAAGAATATAATAGTAAATCATATTTTTTTTCATCTGCCTCCCGTTTTCGGAAAGAGGAAAGTAATAATTAAAAATAAAAGTTATTGTGATTGGTTTTAGCGAATTATATATTGATCTGGAATTGAGATAGACATTTATATTTTTTTCTGTAGTTTTTTAATGATTTTTTTTATTAATATTTTACGTCTTTTAAATTGCGATAACCTGTTAAAAATATGTTTTTATATATTACTAGCTTTTGCCGCGACTCCGTCCGCGTGGAATAGTGACTTCCGGCAGATTTTTGGTTCTTCCCACATAGTTCCCGTTCTTGCGGGGTTTTCGGAATGGTCGAGTTCCCGTAGAATTTACAGGATAAAACGTATGTTTTTTTTTATTAACAATGAAGTACTCTTAACCAACAACTATTTATTTGTTTATTTGAATAAAGATTAATATTATTATGTTGATACAACTTAAACAAATTATTTCGACCAAATTAGGTACCATAAAAACGGTTTTTGTGAGTTAATCTTAAAAGATAGACATATACTGTCGCGGACTGTTTTTTAGATCATTTAAAGAGCTATTATTCTTTAGTACATATTTTTTGTGTATCTTGAACCGTTTTCACGGCGCACGCAACGGAAGGCTTCAAGATGAAATATTTTCTCCCGTTTTTTACACATTTACCACTATATCTTTGCTCCTATTGATCGTAGCGTGATGTTATATAGCCCA